AATGGAACACCTTTCTTGTGCTAAATAGTGGGAAAAGTATCAATAATGTAACGGTAATTCGCGGTAATATTTTATCAGCTCGATCGAAAGGAGTGATTTAATCGATACCACGAAGGAGCAAATAGCAGATGAATTTATTAACAGGACTTTTCTGCATTTTTGCATCGTACATAAACATGTAAAATATAGATTATATTTTCATATCAGTTATCGAGTTTGTGTTATAAAAATTATATATCATGCCTTGCACCTCTTAATTTTGCAAATACCGAATAATTTAACTTGGCTATTTATACAAAAGGTATTCGATATATTTTCAACGAAAAGCTGCACATACTTTATCGCTTTTGTTTACAAATTACAAAATGAGTTAATGGTTCAAATGTAACGGATAATATCCATCAATAAGATGAAAGAGAAGTTCGATAATTGAAAAGTCAGAGGAAAAATATATATAAAGTGAGAGGGAGTCTGAACGCAGATGGAGTCGCTTAGCGTGTGTTGTGTGACGTTGTGTGGGAAAAGGTGGACGTACCTATTATGAAAGAAAGAACGTATCGATTTAACGGAATGTCCATTAAATCTTTGACAAGCCCTGAAATACAATTCTTTTCGCTCCGCCGACGTTTGCTAAATGTTGATTGTTAAAGCAGCATCTGGTTTTAACGAACTGTTGAAAAGTCACAGATCCCATCGATCCCGCGTTCATTAACGTTTGTTTCAGAAAAGCATGACAATCTCAGAAAACTCGTATTCATTCGTATTGAAGTAAAATTCTCACAACTAGACAACATAAGCTCGCGCGTTCAGGATCAAGGCATGGTATATATATATATATATATTTTTTTTATCATTGTCGTAGACAGAGAACGTAGAAACAAATCAAGCGAACGAGAAACTGCCATATTTTGGAAGTGTGACAGTAAATTTCCTATTTTCCGGAATGTCGCCTGGATCAAAATGACCCGGGCTTTATTAAGCACCGGGCAAATTAGGAAATGTTTTGTGTTGCTAATCGGCGCATTGCAGTTGCATTATAAACTCTCGTAATCTAATAAGCGGGTCTCGGATATTGCCGCTCCGGTGAGATTTACTGGACAATCGTGGATTACTGGAGAACGATCGTTTTATGTATTTCGAAATTTGAACGTGATGGAAAGCCATATCCCCCAATCTTTCACCGGACACGTGAACACAAAAAGATTTTATATATTTCTTTTCTACAAATACACGTTCTGAAACATAAATTGCAGTTTACAACATAGAGAAATTAACATAAAAGGGATGAGATGCAGCACGCTATTTTGAAGTCACATTAAAGGATTAAGTTAATCTTCCTGCTGGCGCTTGTAAACAATTAAATGCAGTCAAACTGGATGTAACAAGCTTTCAAAAATAATTCTATCCTCGCTCGCGATGACAATATCGCGAAATTCTGTATCTCCTTGCAGTAAAGAGATAAAAGCTAATTAAAGCCAGTATGCAAAAATAAATATGTAAATATTTATGAAAATTATTGAAATAACGTAAAAAATATCATAAAAATTAGTTTTTATGATTATTTCTGCTTCAACAATTGTCATAGACATTTGCTTATATTTGTTCTCTAATTATATTTATATGTATATGTAAAAATAGCCCTTCAAAGAGTCTCTTTTTTATTCGTCAATCAAACTTTCTCTATATCTTCTTTATCGAGTCATCTAATATCTATTCCGCGTTATAAGTGGTAAGGATATCGGCGCCAATGAAGTGAGCTTCAAGAGCGGCAACATCCGAGTACCACTAATAAAGAGACGGCCATATGATGCTTAACTACGGAGATATGGATCCAAGATCCATCGCGATTAACCCAACACCACTTTAGAGAAGAAAAAGCACGCGTAATAGAGTATATATATCGATAGCATCTGTTCACATAAATGTACTTCAAAGCTGCTAATTTTAAACTCCTACAGAAAATATTGTTATGGTCTTTATATCATAATTAAATTCTTACGTAATATTATCATCGTATATAAATTTCCAATAATAAATTTATATTATTATTACAGCGCGTATATTTTAGAAAATAGAACTACAGGTAGTACAGCTGCCTTCTTTAGTAATCCATGTGCCGGTATATATCGTGTGCTAAATAAATTATGGCGGATACACATACATTCTGCATACATTTTACATACACATACACACACATGCCTTGACGTGGCCGATAAATTTTTAAATGTCATCATCTTTTCTCGCACTTAGCGTGTGAATATTTAAACGGCGGTCTGCAAACGGCGGTGGGTTAATCACGGAGATCGATCGGTAAACGAATGCGGTTCAAAGTGGGACTCGCTTCGGTGAAAACGCGCTCTGGAAATTGGAGCTCTATAACGAGACCCCGAACGACAAAGTCGCCTTTCGCGTCGTCGCCAGCCCCGTGTATAATTAATTGGTACCAGGCCTGTCTAATTACACTGCCTCCACGACGTCGTCGTCGTCGTCGTCGTCGTCGTCGTCGTCGTCGTCGTCGTCGTCGTCGTCGTTGTCGTCGTCGTCGCAATTGGCAATTCGCGGTTAATCCCCAACTCTGTCACGGCAGCACAATATCTCGCAGCCGCCGCTGTTCTTGCTCAAGAACTTGTCGCGTTGTTCGCGGCAATCCCCGGGCTATTTCCTGCTAAATAAGCGTATTTGCCAAACGTGCGCTTCGCATTCCTCATTGTTCTAAAAGTATACCGACCAGACCGCTTGGTCGCACTACTTGGTCGCGAGCCGAAGGAAAACTCAAGGTAAACTCGACGACAAAAATATAAGTAAAAAGTTAATCGGGGACAAAAAATCCATTACGTTTACTCACGGAATGTATTTGCAATTATAATTCTGGATTATTTATTTAAGTCTCGCGTTGCTCTCGATGGAAGATATTACGACGTTCTGCCCTACTCTCCCTTGATAAATAGTAGACGAGAGCCTGCACCTAGATATATACGCAGCACGAAAACTCGGAGAGAAATGAACCGTGTCCTGAATGTAAATCTCTCGGCTTGCGCGCAATGCGGCTGTTGAAAAATTTATCCTTGCAATTAAATTGCATTGGTCGTTGATACGCACTGCTGATTACACTGCCGACGTGACTTGCGCCTTCGAGTCATTTCCGCAACGATTACAAAGGGGTTTCGTTTACCGAGATCGTTCCCTCGGATATATAGAGCACGTAAGTGTTTAATTTTCATATAGATAGGCTTAACTGGGTTATACGGCGTACTGGTTACAGTTACTGTTTTCTGGTAGCAATCAGGAAAAAAAAAGAAGTCATTACCAAGAATGAGATAAAAAGGGTTGCACACTACCGCAGAGATGTAGCAGCACGAGAATGCCTTAGCGAGTGTGTTGTCGCACGGTGCAGTAAAGAATTAAAGAATAAGTCAACGATACATCTGGTAATATATGTACATATGTGTAGGCAGATGTCTTCTATTATATATATATAAATGATATACATAGTGTTACATTGCGCATATGTATGTACTCATATCTAATAAGTAAAATGATCAATGTGTGTAATATTGCAAAAAAAAAGAGAAAAAGAGAAGATGAAAAAAGAGATGTATGGCTAAAAAATGAAGAATAGATGAGAGAGAGAGAGAGAGAGAGAGAGAGAGAGAGAGAGAGAAAGATAGAATGACGTGTGTAGTATATACGTGTCTGCTGTATTTTGCGAGGCAGCGTGTACATGTTTATGTATGTATATATATATATATACTTTGCATTAAAAAAATCAACGCGAATAAACATAATCGAAACAAGTCAAAAAGAGAGATGAAACTCCATCAAATCATCTACCACACAACAGCGGGTGAGAGCGATACTATATACTCTAATGGAATCTCATAATTACGCACAGCACGACGCTAAGTAAACAGGGGAAAAAGAAAAAATCATCGGAGAGAAAGAAATCGTATCGAATCCCGGATTATTGTAAGAACGAGAGACTACGTCGGAAACAAGAAAAATCATCTCTATCTCGGAGCAATTTAATATATGGAAATATAATTCCTCGGTATAATTAAGTTCCGACGAGTATTATATAATGGAAATTTATGCATTATTTTTGCTGTTATCTGATTCTTATACAATTATAAACGTGATTGTTTCGATAATGGCAATTTATTTACTTTTTTTTTCACTCTGCAACCCTCACACTTTCTTCACTGAGGGATGCAGCTTATTCCGCGGATAAATCAAATAACGTTCTGCGCATGTGGTTAGATTAATTGTCTGCTGCATAATTAGCTATGTATGTCAGCGAGTTAGTATCATATTGCTTCATTACTTCCTTTCATTCTCATATGATCTAAATTTCGCGAGGATACAGAAGCGCGTTTGATATGCAATAGCTATGGTTTAATATCGACCGAAGGCGAAGGCGGTAAAGAGCGCGTCGTGCTATTCGTAAGTCTCAACTCATTCATAGACATACAGAATAGATACTTGCTTAACGTAGAGAACATGACGGTAGGTGGAGATACAAAAGAGCCACGAGAGCGGGCCTCAAGATACGCAACGGGTGTTTTGTTGTTTAGCACGAAGAGGAGAAGAGAGACACAAAGAAGTAGATTGAAAAATGTGTCGTCTATACATCGTGAGATCAAAAAGGGCATTAGAAGGATACTATACAGCGACTTAATGATAACAAGTAAATTAACTATGTGTATGTGTGTGTGTATGTGTGCACAGGCATTTCCCATCGATGTCGGAAGATACTCCACCGACGAACACGGAGTCCAATTTTTCCTTGATATTCGCTTTCAACGCCAAATATTTCCACAATCAAACCTCGAGTGAAATCTTTGCTCATGTAAGATTGAAGTCGAGTTAAATCGGTTTCGGCACTGAGAAAAAGTATAAAGTCAATTTTAATAAATATTTCATTGAATATTGCCAACTAAATTTTATTAAATATAAAGATACATTTATTTGATCTAACAATCATTCTTTTTGCCGAACAAATATTTATTTACCGTAAGTAAACGTTAAGTTGGCAGTATATCGAACTAAATATTTATTAAAATTGACCATATTTTCTTCAGCGAACGAATAAAGGTTCGTCTATTATCGCAGTCTACTTTTAGGGGATGAATACCGCAATTTTCTGAATTACAGCCCGAAAGACGGAGAATAGATCAGGCTATCCACCGGTAGCGATGGGATTCCCTGTGTCTCGTGATTTCGTATATCGGTAATGTGATCGTTATACACCTCCGCAGCGCACGCGGCATTCGAGGAAAAGGCGCGTGGCCGAGGAACGCGTTGACAATACGCGTGTCGTCGTGCGTTACGTCGACGTATATTTTACACAGCTCCTTCCAGGTATATGGTAGCTGATAGTAAATGGCGCTGACTGTGATACGTGATAACGAAACACCCAGCATTAGATAGTCTGTTACTTGTGTATAGTATATATAAAAAAGGCACATGTGTGTGTCTGTGATCACGGGGCGTTGCATTCTTTTTCAACTTACCATAGTAACGTCATCTATTTTTGAGATACTTCGAACAAATATGTTGACGCGGACAACCGCGGGCCCATCTAACATGGCAAACAGAACAAACAAAATTAATCAATCGTTGAGCAGCAATCAGATACATCGAGGTAGAGATGTGTGCGTGTGTGTGGTATGATGAAATTCTTAGATCCCCTTCTGAATCACCTGCGATTGACGATGAGTTGTGAGATGTGCTTAATGTAGCTTATATCTTATATTTGTTCGATATTCATTATGTCTGTTCAAAATTTTAGAATTTGTTATTTTCTTTTTTTTTTTCTTTTTTTTTTTTTCGTTCGACGGTCTCATTTATTAGTCCGGCGATCTTCCAGCGTCGTTCAGACTATCTTTCGACTATCCGTTGCCATTTCCTTGCCCCCTGTGTTACGTTCGAACGAAATCTGATTTAACGCCTGACGGACGTTTCAGCGCGTTTATCATCGTTAAAATGTAACGTTCCGATATACAGAGAAAAACAGTTTAACCATGATCTTAAAATGCGGCAGTAAACTTCGACCTAAAGCACTTCGATGTAAAGCACTGTTTTAGTAAACCGTTTCGCGTTCAATCGTTTGTTTTTTATAACGTCTATATTACGTTTCTGGCGCAACGCGGAAATACATTGCTCGCGTTAAGAAGCACTTCGCTTCTAATTCGTCCATTCAAGAGACTCATCCGATTAAGTAACGTTTAGCCTCCGTAGTGATCTACGTTCGATCGCATAGAGAGAAAAATTCGTGTTCATTGAATTCAGGTGGATTACGTGATAACGAAACACCCAGCATTAGATAATTTGTTACTTGTGTATAGTACATAAAAAAGGCACATGCGTGTTCTCTAAATCTAAATCAGTGGATATAGTCACTAATTATCCAATCGCTATAATACTTGGCACTGGATAATCAGTAAAGTTCAACGTAAAAAAGAAAAAAATAAGCAAATTTTGAGCATAATTAAAATACTGATATTTGCATGTTAATTTCACAATCTTCTAATATTACATTCACTAAATTTATGCACTAAAACAAGATTAGTTAGATCACATCATAAACGTTAGCTAGGTTAGAGATCTCACATTTCGTTCACTGATTACCAGTGACACATTTGGCACTGATATCAGTAATTATCCACTGATTTAAATTTAGAGAGTGTGTCTGTGATCGCGGGGCGTTGTATTCAACTTACCGTAGTAACGTCATTTTTTATATTGTTGAGATACTTTGAACAAATATAATGACGCGGACAATCGCGGGCTCATCTAACTTGGTATAGAGAAGAATTCGCATTCATTAAGTTCAGGTGGAGCCATATTGATAAATCATGTCTTTCCTCGACTATTTGCTTTCTTCGTTTCGCGGCCATGTTATTCCTCGAATCGATTTACCGGATTTTTCTGCGGTATAGCGAAAACGCTTCGGTCATTGAGGAATCGCGGCCGCGGAAATAATGCATGACGCGCGGGGGACACGAGCGTTATTCCGTGGAATATATCGGTCGTGCGAAACGAATACCGTGAAACGAATTTTCTCTCGTGCAGCCGCCTATTTACTCGCACGAAATAGTCGCACGATCCCAGAGGTAATAGCCGGCGTCGGCAATAATCGATACACGCGGGACGAACCACGCAAATCACGAGATACGGATCAACGGAAGGTAAATAAATTGTGCGCACCAGTATACAATCGAGCAGTTGAAATATGAAAGATCGAATAAGCGGAAACGCGATGAAAAATCGATGACAGCCGCCGCGCCATCATCGTCGTCGTCGTCGTCGTTGTTGGAACGTATTCGACGACGTGCCTCGTATGGTAGTGTCGAATTATTTGAACCAATGGCTGCATTCGGCAGATAAAGCCAGCTCGACAACTTGTAAAATTCTTTAGTATACGGAGAAAAATGGATAGTCTCATGTATGATATAAAAAATTAAGGTATAACATTTCGTGAATGAGCAGGAGAGTGAATTAGAGACCAAATTTGATTGGACGTTCCAGTATTATACGCATGAATTGAGTACACTTGGGCTCAAATTTGATTGATCGTTTAGTACTGCTATTCGTCATTATGTTCAATGTTATATGCTTTAAATTCTGAAAGAGTTAAAATACTGCTATTATTGAAAAAGAGTGAAAAATTTGTTCTCTTGAATAAGAGTGACAGATTTTTACTCTTTTTTGAAGTGAAATTCATCAAAAAAGGAGTGAGATTTTTTTCCTATGGAATTAATCTCACTTCAAAAGTGAAAATCTGCCATTCTTATTCAAGAGTGCAAATTTTTCACTCTTTTTCCTTAGTGACAATATATATTTTAACTCTTTTAGAGTGAGATTTTACTCCAAGAAATTTAGAGAGTACATCTTTCTTTTTATACCCTGAATAGTCTTATAAAAATTTACCCTAACAAGTCTAGTAAAAATATCGAAGATGTAGGGTAAAAAAGACATTACAATTATAGTCCATTCAAATGGTTATTACTTACAGCAAAATAAATTATACTATTCTCAAGAACTGTAAACACGAACAACTATCAAAACTTTATGAACTTTATTTTTTTTATTGTACAATAAAATAAATTTTGTCAGCACTAAGGCAAAAAATATTTGTCAATAAAGTAAGTTTTATTGAGATGTATGGTAATTTATAGATTAAGAGATAGTTACCAATTGCAATAGCATAAAATTTACTTTACAAAATGTACTAGAAAAGTAAAGTAAATTTTACATAAGTAGATGCCTGTCTCTGTATGAACCTGCCAATTCAATAAAATTCAATTTACCAGAATTCTAGCAAATATTACTTAATATTTTTCTCCGTGTATGACTGGTCTTATCCTTAACGCTTCCACTGGATCTAAATATATAAACCAGTCAAGGTTTGAATCCACGGGGAATTTTCTTTTTTAAAAATATTTTTAACAAAATATTATATCCATTTTTAATATTTCTGAAATGGAATGTTTTTAACCACAACTTCGACAACATTTCAAAAATATTTTTTAATTTAAGAGACTCCCAGATATAAAAAACATAGATTCTATCGTATAATTTTTCTTCCATATTGACATAATTTTAAATAAAATGTTTTATGTAAATTATACATTTAAATAATACTTTTTCAAAGTAATAATGTAAATACAATAATTTAATATTTTATCTTTTCATATTCAACCTTAAAAAAGAATTTTGTTTATGATACTCCAATGGCATCCAGACAAATTTCTGGATTCATCAATGAAAAAATGTTACAACAGTTGCAAAGCTGTTTTTTTACCGAACGCAGCCAATCTCGAGAATGAATCAGATACTCGGAAAGCCGACAAAGCGCACGATGCTACGTAGTTTATGTACCCGAAGCGATATATTTGCAGAACGGATTTTACTTCATTTTTTTTTTAGTTCGAAAATACCCTAAAGCATAAAAATGTCGAAAAACCATACAGAACAACGTACAGAACGAAATCGTTGAGAGATGTAAACCCGATGAAAATATTCATGCCGCGAGGGACGGCTGGAACTTCGTTTGCTTGAACGGCGTGACGTTTCGATCATCATCTCTCTTCCTCTTTTTTACGCGAAACAAGGAGTTTCGAAAAAAAAAATTGACGTGCGCCGTAGACGCAAATAAAAATGGAAAGGAAAAAAAAGATATATTATCTACGGGAGGCGAGAAGGGATTTCTTTGCTCGGGACGATAGAAAACCTGGAATGCCGCCCCTGTTTGCGATTCCCGCGCGATATTATCGAACAAAATTTCCATGTCGCCATCACGGTCCGATTAGTGTCAAAGCGAGATGACCGCGGCTGTCCTTTGAACGCTTACGCACAAAAAATACGGCGAATATAACGCGGATGTGACGTCACGAAGATGTATTGTTTGATCCCCTCTGGCGAACACTCCGTGCCAGAGTTCGTCGTGTTGATGGCGTGTCAACAGCGAGACGTTGAACACCTTCGCACGTCAATTATCGTCGAAGTTACGCGACATTTGACAGTATTAGGAATTGACGCCATGAGATGCCATCGGCGTCACACACGGGATAGAAAATGTGCGCAAGCGTGACAAATTTATACAGGAGAGCCAGAATAACACGCAATCCGCAAGCAGTGATATTTCAATCGCGCGTGGTTGACAACTGATTTATTTCTCGACTAGAATTTATAAATTATTTCAAGAATAATGTTCCTCCACAGGAAACTATTCTCATCGTCCTATCATATTTCGAAATGCTTTCGTCTGAAGGTTGCACACTCGTTAGTTTTAGATATATCAAAATTATTCACAGCAAGGACGGCGACAAGAATTAATAAATTAGCTGTCGTCCCAATTTTAATCTGCATACCTATCTATATCGATCCAACTAACTTCACGAAGATTGATTGCGTCTTATTTCAATCAGACCTATAGACTGTCAGGAAAACAGCCGGTGGATAATCGACAGCTATCGGACCGCGTTTAACCGCGTTTAAACGTCGGCGAACGTCGGCGTCAGTATCACATGATCGGCGGATGCATTCCCTCGTTATGTCATTATCGTCATCGTTGGAAGTCTAACTTTGTTTGTAGCAGCATGAACGAGCCAGCCGTATCGTCCTGAGCCATACAGAGTGTTTGCGTACCATTCCGCCCTACATGAACCAGGACAAGACGTCGGACACGTAGTGCTCGTCGTCGTCATCGTCGTCGTCGTCTTCATCGTTTTCGTCTTCGTCGTGTCATCGTCACCATCGTTACCGTCGTCGTCGTGTCATTAATATCGCCCACTTTTAAACCCGTGATCTCGCTACACGAAACGCGCAAAGCAGGATGTTACAAATGCTTTTCGAGCACGAAAGCTCCAAGTTCAAGGCGTCCTCGCATTTCAGTCCCGCGCGTAAGAACGAGTACTTACTTGAAAAAATTGTCATATTCTGACGAAGAAGATATCTTTAGCATTTACAAAATCGAGTCATAGTGTGATTATAATTATCAACGCGGATAAATGATGTTTATTTTTTGTTCTACTTGAATACTTTTAAATAATTCAGTTTATTATTAGAAATTATTACGGAGACATTGAGTCACTTAGAGAGCGCAGAAGAAAAGATATTTGTTACCGGCAAAGTCAAAAGTTTATAACCCAACCCGAGAATATTTTCAAAATGTAGCTGCAATTATAAGTATAAAATTATATATGTTTAATTTGAATATTTTTATAATACACGGGGTGTTTTACAACCACCGTATAAACACACCGTATAAAGACTGTCTTTCACAGCGTATTTTAAAAGTAAAATAGAGTAAAAATATTAATACGAAAATGTTGAGGCTGCAAAAATTTTTTGAATTGTAAGCTAACTTTAACTGCTTATATAAAAGTATTGTACGATGTACGATGGTTGTGAGACATCCTATATATTAGTTAGCTTAGTTTTTCTTATTAAGAATAAGATTCTTGCTAGACTTTTATCATCGTAGGAACTTTTCTTTTGTTATCACCTACGAAAGTATCGAACGGTACCAATACTCGTGTTATTGGATACCCAAGTAAGGCGAAGTTCGGAACCTGGGTAGAATTTAAGTGTCCTCAAGTTTTGATAAATTCTTCCTTGTTGAAAAGCAATTGGCATAAAGTGGATCGACTCGCTTGTACACGTAAGCAACATGTTCTTTGTGCAAGAAATAAACGAGGAATACACACAACTTTCCGCTACAGAGGCGACGGTGACATTTGAAATTTAATTATTTACGTCATGTGCAGGGAACGTTTGCGAATTTTCGCAAGACGCATACACAATCGATCGATCTAGCACACACACTCACTCGCACACACACACACACACACATACACGCACACATGAACACATCGAACAATCTAAATTTAATACACCTTCGTTATTTAATTTATTAATACATTAATATATTCTACTGTTTTAGCGTAGTTTATATTGGAATAAATAATGTTCTCTCTCATCGAATCTATCGATAGTTTCAACGATAGTGAAAAATTAAAATCGAGAGTTCCGGAACGCTCTGTATAGTACTTTAGACCGATCGATCGTCCCTTGAAATCACTCTTTGATCTGATAAGCGTGCTTTTACACGAGAGAAGAGGTCGAACACGAAAAGGCCTTCCTGACGGTAAACCTACGTTCGCTTCCTACGCGATACGGAACGAACGAGAGTGCCGGAACGCACTCCCGACGTAACTTCTCGACGTGCATTTCCGTGCGGCCCGGAGCGGCCGCGGTGGTACATGTAATCTCGTTACCTATTGTGAAACACAAGTTTCGCTCTCTGCACTCTCTCTCGACAGAGTGCAACGGGCCGGCCGATCGTCCCTTCGCGAAATCGCGTTAAGTGTCTCTCCACTGCGAGCATTGCGAGGAGTTTTCCAAACAACATAAAAGCCTGACAGATGTCTAAAGGACATTCTAGTCTCTGTATAATTCTTATCCCTTTTCTTTCCTTTTTTTTTATCTTAGAAAAATCTTCGTGGAGTAACACGTCACTTTAGTTCCGCGTGTCATATATTCGGAACTCGATACAGCTCGCCCCGCCCCGCAATAACGAGGGAGATCGAGAGAAATAAAATTACTTTTGGGATGGGATTTCTCTCCGGTAGCGTTACTCAGATTGGGATACGCGATATGGTCAAAGATGAATCCGGCAGAGCGGCTGTTACCGCTGCTTGGCCGTGTTGATCTTTAACTAACTATCTGTGATAAAAAGAAAAAAAAACTAACGACCTGTGGTCGGTACGTTGGAAGTACGTCCGAACGTAATCGCATCCCCGCAAACCCGATTTGGGTGTCGCTCTTTCGGCCACTCCTCGTCCATCCGATGGTCCGTCCAATGCGACGTAACTAACATACGCAAAATGTATTATATAAGCTGGAATGCCACATGCCTGCGTCTATACTATATAGAGTGCTAGAGTTTCAGGGGTGAGGTTTCTCGGGCGCTTTGGTCAAAGGTAGTGGTGGTTGCGGTCGGTTCGTGTGGATGTGGTGTTCTCTCGAGAAAAGGCTGCTAGCGGTGATAGCTAGCAACGAGGCGAGGCGAGGCGAGGCGAGGCGAGGCAAGGCAAGGCGAGGCGAGGCAAGGCGAGGCGAGGTGAGGTGAGGTGAGGTGAGGTGAGGTGAGGTGAGGTGAGGTGAGGTGAGGTGAGGTGAGGTGAGGTGAGGTGAGGTGAGGTGAGGTGAGGTGAGGTGAGGTCGAGGCGTGGCGTAGCGAGGTGAGGCGAAAAGGCTATGGGGGTGAAGGGAGTGAGGGTGGAGCGGAGGGGTGGAGCTAGGGGAGCAAAAGAGCGTGGGTGAAGAAGGACAAGATGCTGCTGCTGACCGGTACTCTGCTACGTTTACTGCTCTCTACTATGTTGCGTGTGTTGTTGCTACCGCTTTTTCCAGCCTGCCTGGTTTCTCCTAGGAAGTATCGAGCTCTCACCGCTGCCATCCGGTTGCTGCTGGATTTTCTCTCTTTCCCCTCTGAGATTTCGCTCTTTCTTTCTCACACATACACACACGCGCGCACACACACACACACACACACACGCACACACGCACACACACACGGACACACACTCTTTGACTTTCGAGATCAAGACCGCCTAAACCTACTTTTGCGCCTACTGCGTTTTTGCAAAGTGACAGAGACAAATAAAGAAAAGGGGTTAATCGCGTCGGCAAGAGAAGAAACGGCGAGTTGCGGCCAATTGCGGTTTCAAAAGGCTTTGTTTGATTGTGTTATTAGCGTTTATATATACTTACCATCTTGATGTCACTAATTGTCGCAATGCTTCGCACAAACAGGTTTACCCGGACAATGGCCGGCCCATCTAAGGGCAAAAACAATACAGCTCCCTTTTAGTGAATCAGCATTTCTGGTGGCTTACATACTCTACTGGAATGTGCCCGACATTATCTTTTACCGCGCTTGTCGTCTATTTATTTAACCGGTTCCACCGAGTCTCGATGCGATTCAGGGCTGTTCGAAGGACAGGTGCGGAATAATCGAGAGTGAGTCGGTATCAAATCAGTTACGTCGAACACGATTGAGATTCGCGCGAATACTGTCAGAGACTCGAGGGATGAGACCATTCTGTAATCACCTCTATTTTCCTCGAGGACTGGCTACAGAGATAACACGGGGTTTATCACGTATTTATTGGGGTGATACCTCAAGAATTCAAGATATAAAAAAATCCGTGGAGTCATGGGAAAAGATTGGCGCAAAGTATAACGATTCATAAAAACTGTTTGAAAGAAATTGTTCGGGAAAGAAAATCCTTTGGGGAAAAAAAAACCGGAGTAGCGCTGTCATCGAGGAAAATTGTGTAAAAGTGTCCTTTTCCTGTCGTCACCTAATTACGGTGCGATAACAAATTGCGAGATCGTGACTCACGTGAATTACATACCTGAGCACGACTCTCGCGTGCGGACTTTAATCTGGAGCATTATTTAAGCTTGAATCGATTCACGTATCTCACGGCATACATCTCATGATAATAAATGTTTTCGTTCACCTCTCGTGACAGCTCGATGAGAAATGCAATGCGGTGCGCAGATTATCAAGTAAATCTTAGGCTGTGAGATATGTGTATTATCTTGCATAATATGCCAATTATCGCTTATTTTTTTATATAATACAAACGTGTGCGATGTGCGTGTAAGAATTCTAAAAGAATATTCGCGAATATTTCGAGACGTTAAATTCGTCAAAAGTGTTTTAAGCGTTTCTTCCGTCGGCTGTCACAGTGCGGCTGAACTTGCTCGCGTGAAATTATTCTGAGTGCCAAGCAGTACGTGTGCGTTTCGCTTTGTAGAGTGCTTGGCAAGGAATGATGAAGATTGTGGAGTGATAATTATCAGTGCGCGACTGACTTAGGATTGCCATCCATTCTCTTCTCCCCACAATCCTCTTTTTTTAGAATGTCCGGGATAATTTTCCAAAAGTGTCCGAAAAATAATTACGAGCGTTCGGGGTTTCAGGGAATCTTCAAGATATATTGCTTTGACTCCAGCTAATCTCGATCTACAGCAAGCTTTAAGAGTCTATCTAAACAAACTTACATAAATTTATGCATAAAGAAAATTATCCAATCGTACGTAAGTCTTTATAATAAAAATGTGATTGGATAATTTTCTTTATGCATACGTTTATTTATACGCTCTGCAAGATTGTCTAGATAGACTCTAAGCCGTAAGAAATTGACCCATCACAGTCGAACGTGAGGAAATAATCGACTATGATTGGTCAATTTCTTGCGGCTTAAGGCTTACGGTAAACCTAGGGCCGGAACACAAACTTTTGCATAATGCGTAATGCATAATGTATAAGGAGATCAATCAGAATCTATTTCATGAAAGGAAGAGTTCTGATTGGGTACTTTATGTGTTATGCGTAAAGCAACAATGAGATTTTGAGACGTAAAATTTAAGCTTTAAGCCATAAGAAATTGATCAATCATAGAGTAGTATTCATAATCAGATCTTATATTCAAAACTGTCTTAAACACACTCTTAAGAAGTCACGAATCAATCAGAGGGCCGTATTAGCGTCTTAAGACATTACTTAAGACAGTCTTGAAATAAAAACGAACTATGAATACCATAGTCGATGATTTTCCTCACATTCGACTGATTGATCAACTTTTTAAGGCTTAAATTTTTTTTTTTTTATTAAAATTTCATTGTAGACTTTATGCAAAGGTCCGTGCTCACGTTCTTAGAAATTGACTGTTCCAATTTTACTAACTTATATTTCTGTACGCATCCAGAATCGCAAGTGAAATATCTGGAGTTTTTGTAGTCTGTAAGTTTCGAAAATTTGAATGTGGCAATCTTATAGACTGACTTAATTATACGCGACTAATGTCATCTCTCGTCTAATACAGACATTTCTCTATACCGAAATTCGTATTTAGTGCCGTCATCCCCATCGGTCCACGTGACGGGTGTACAACACAAAATCCGGTCGCGGCCTGCCAAATCCGGCCACGTATAAATCCCATAACTGCATTCGACGGCATGCCGATCGCGAGCCAGGGACTCCAGCCAAATCAATGCTGCGTGTATGTTTGTCCCTCTCTCTCTCTCTCCCTCTCTCTCTCATCCTCAGTCTCGCATCTACGTGGCTCTCTTTCCATTATGTGTTAACACCTGTTCCGACAGGCAGCCGTGCTCTCACTCTTTACCCGTTAACCTTCGATTGTAGAACAATGATCGAGCCGTAATACAAACACGAACGTATGTAAATATGTACACACGTTCTACTATTGCGTTTCAATCAATTCGGTTTTTATTTGGTTAATGTTTACCGCCCTCAACGCACATCTTATCCTCCCTATTTGTTTAATTGAAAAGCACTCGAGCTATCTTGCAACTTTACGAAATCAATCAGTGTTGAGAAGATTTAATTTAATCACGCAAAATATATACAGCACAAAAATGAAGCGAAATAAAAATAAAAGTCTCTGGAAAAAAAAGCAATATCGTTTTTGCAAAATATACAATATGTCGCGTTTAATTTCACGTTAATTAATGCGTTAAAACTGTTCCAAATTGCCCGCTCTATAAAGAGTTAATTGATAAATAACGTGTGTACAAATAAATTTCTAACGCAACTTAATATAAAAGTTTTCATTCAATCACCAAATAATATGAGCCCTTGATAGCTCGTTAAGAATGATATTCAATCTTCATTCATTATTTTAACCTCGATGCCAAAATTTCATTTGTACACGACAATATTCGCCTGTTTCCTTGACATTTCATCCATTTCGTGCATTTATATGTGCATGATTGGCGTATCTAGACCAGCTTTATACGGATTTGATTGAAAAGACGAATTCCTTCTCTTCCACTGTAGCGAACTTAACCCGTGTGACAGACTGGCGTGATTAATTACCTGGTAGTTCATAATTCGGCAACAAAATTCCCTTCAGTTCTACTAGCATTCACGCTCGCGTATTTCCCTTCTTTTTTTTCCATCCCTGTTTCAGTTATGAATCTTCTTCAAGTCACTTACGCTCGTTACCGCCGTATATACAGTAGTTAGTATTCAGCCCAGATTTGCAGGGGAGACGCGTTGCGCGTAAGATACAGTTAATTCGCAACCACAAAGGATACTGGTATGTGGATAGCGCAATATTCTCCCTAATGTAGTGACCCATTGTGCTCACCCCAAACTAGATCCTATCTCAAACGACAACTGGCGTTTAATAACAACATTTCCCTGCTATGCATCGTTGTTCGCTTATTGTTAGTTTAATTTTTAAGACGAGCCAAGAGTACATTGCCGTTTTGGCGCGATCACAGAAACATGTCACGAGAGAAAACTAATCGAAGTAGTTTTACGATTTATTTGTTTGGATCGAGTTTCAAACATTTGCGTTCTCATTACTCGCATTATATAGCGAGAAGAATTTTATGACCGAAATAATAATAACCAAATATAATAATAAATAATAATTGATTCGTAAAAGAATTAAAGGATCCGTTTAATTATCTAATTTTTAAGCGAATACTTGAAGAGACGCTCAATGCTAAAAAAAAAAAAAAATAAAATAGAATTAGTATTTTAATTTTCCAACACAAGTTTTGTCAGGAGAGAACCAACTCAAACTTTATTAATCTAACTTAGCAGATGCGCGAAATCTTGGACGACTTTATGTAATTTGACGCTTTGTTCTCCTAAACGAAGACGAAGCGTTCCTTTTTCTATTCGAATTTCCTAAATCAATTATCCTCGCGTGATTATGAGACCAGGAGAGTATGTAAAATGCCTTCGCGTATAATTATTCTTTTCTTTACTTGACCACGCAATTAAAATATTAATAATGAGTTCCTGTCCGCCCTCCTACTGCAAATAAATCAGGCAACTAAGACATTAGGCGAAAGATTAAACGACAACAGTTCATCAAGATTGTAATATAAATAAATCGACTGCGCCGGCGGCAATTGTTTGATCGATATTGGGACCACGTCACTCATTACGCAATATTACATAATATTACAGAATGTTACTTGTAACCCGAACGCAAACATAAATTCCGCAGACCCACGAATTGCAGATCTATCGTTGCCAAGCGCTACCAAGATTTATGGAAACACATAATTTTCGGATGACCCATTTCCATTTCTTTGGCTTCAATGTCAAACTTGACGTTATCATGACATCAACACGCGTTTTATTGCGTAAGAGGGATCACGTATATGTATAACAACTTGAAAATGAACGGAAAATTGTAGAGATGTTTTCTTAGCAGGGCTGTGCTTTCTTACTATTTAATGTCAAACTTTTATTTAATGTAAAATTGCAATATTAATAATTCTGAGTTATAGAATCATAACTCAAATATATAATCCCATGTCAATGCATTGGTAGAGGTTGCGAGTGTAATGTTGAAAGATCAGGAAGTTTATACATAAAAGTATTTGTCAAATTTGAATGACTTAATTATAGAATTTATAGAAGCAGCGTATACAAGAATGAAAAAATAAAAAATAAAAAAGAAATACCACCATCTCACTCCTCGATTGATAGCGAAGGAGAATGACGATCGAGAGTGACGCCGGACTTGAACGCGTCATACACGGGGTGTTTACGGCTCTCATGGTCAATTAATTTCACGCGACGTCATCGACGGTAAACCGACCATGATTACGGATGGGGTGAAATTACAAATGCGCGATCGATCGATCGAAGGACACTACGACTATCTCCAAATTACGCCCGGAAGGGCACGGGTTCTAGGACGGATACTCGGCAGCGTATTAATATCCCTCGCATCGCATCGCATCACATTGCATCGTATCACGTCGCATCGCATCGCAT